AGACCATCCTGAGGCGTCGTCCCGGAATGCAGGGCGTGAGGTAGTTGCAGTGTTCAAAGACTCTATAGAGTTTTTAGAGCTTGTCTCTTCTAGGATCGAGACCCGGTTGGAGCATATCTGATCTTAGCTGCGGACCTAGGAGGATTGCAATCATCATGAAGAGGAGATCCTATTCTCTTTTAGATGTGATCGGCATGATATGCAGACTACACTGTATGAAATGTTGGCGTATCATTCTCCAGGCTTTCACCCTGAGAAGCTTGGTTTGCCCGAGATGATATCTGACCCCGATGAGGCGGAGAAGGTGGGCAATGATGATATTGGAGTTACTCTTCATGATTGACTTATCACTTAAGCTTGTATGTATGCATCGCTCGTTCTTTCAATTTACTTAGTCGTTTTTCATTCAGAAATACTTGGATAACTTATCGGGGATCTGGCTCCCCACCTAGGCTGCGAGGGGCGGAAAGTCGACAAGGTCAACCTTGACCGCGCTCTGCTGGGTAAGGTGGGGCTGACCCGCACACTGTCGGTCTAGGACCGACGAGTTGTGCAAGCTATTCGACCGACGATTGGACAACGGATGTACGAGAGGGGCTCGGGGTGTGACCTCTCGCATACCTTCGACCCGGAGGTCGGTCTTACACCACCTTGACTTGTACAACTAGTTTCATACTTAGGAAATATTTTGGCTATTGCCTTTCTGAAAGTCGAATTGAAGTCGGCCAAACGTAAGGGCAAGGCCTTGCATGATCAGACCAGAACGGACCCGCACCGTTGATCCTATCAAGCGCGTATGCGGGCTGTTAAGCCTAGCAACGTCAGACAACAGATGTACGAAAGGGGCCTAGAGCATGACCTTTCACATTCCTTTGCTCCGGAGACCAATCATATAGTTTCCGCATCGTTGATTGGATCATACGTGCATGTGAGCTGTTTAGACAACAACATCAGACAACGGATGTACAAGAGGGGCACGGGGCGCGACCTCTCGCATACCTTTTCGACCCGGAAGCCGGTCTTAAAATTGCCCTGACCGAGCAGCTAACCCCGGACTTAGAAAGTAGTTTGATCATTTCCTTGCCCGAGAGCTGAGCCGTGGTTGACTAAACACCGAGAGCGGGGCGTGATGTATATATATTCTTTTTTTTTCTTTTTTTTTTCTTTTTTTTAGCCGCCGCCCGTTTAATCCAAGTGAGGTCGGACCTCATTAAATTCCAGACTGGAAAACGAAATATTTTTTTTAAGTAATGAAAGAATCTGAGAACTTGAGGAGTTTCTCCGGTTCTGCACTTGATCTACAATTTGTAATGATCGACTCATAGAATGTGAGAGATCTAATCGACAATCCGCACTTCATCAACGGACTTGCAGTACTCCGCTCTTAAGATTAGAAAGGGTTCCCGACGCTCCACTCATATATTCTGACCAAGTGCCGTGCAATCTACACTCGATCTAGAAGCTTCCTCGTCATGGTCTTCAACCCTAATTAGCATATTTAACTAACTAGGTCTTCAACTTGTAAGATCGTTCGAGAGCACTGCACCGAACTTGATCTCTCGTTCCTTCTCTCGTGGTTGACCTGGATTTCTTCGACTTTGAAGGTGGGTTCAACACAAAGCTACACCTCCCTCGTACTTTGTATCTTTGTTGATGGAATGAGATTTGAGGTCCTCAGCCTGAGCTGCTTACACGCCTTGGTGTAAAATCTTGCACGCCTGAAATAGCTCTGCGTTGCCAGGTTTGTACCGCTTTGACAACGATTCTTCCATGCCTTCGTGTAATAGCTCCGCATTGCAAGGTCTGTTCCCCTTTAGCAACAGTGCTTCCAGGCCTTCAAGTAATAACTCTATGTTGTAAGGTTTGTACCCCTTTGGCAATGGTGCTTCCACGCTACTGTGAATTTCTCCGTCATAGGGCGTCTTCGTATAATCCGGAGGATGTCTGCATGCCCATTAGAATGGTGTGACTTGAATGCTCATGCACCTCTTCATATGGCGTCAATCTCTAGAACCCTTGAGCCAAAGCTTCTAGAACGCGGGTGGCTTCCCAGAATGCTTGCACCCAGTATGAACCTGTGTCAGCTTCGTGCGCGGAGCACGATGGGGCTCACCTCTAAGACGATCACATGCAGATTGGCCGTTACGACTGTGACCCAATGTACCCCTCGAGTCTCCAGGATTCGACAATTGATTCCAGAGATCTCCTATCAGCATCATCAGCTGGCTCCTCACGTGATGTTCGTTGTGTTGTCCATATTGCTCGGTGTGAATGAAGACTTCCTGTTAGCGTTCTCATCTTCTGGGTCATCACGCTTCCCTTTGTCTTCCTTCTTTCCTTCTTCTTCATCCCACTTCCTCTGTTCGGCGTCTTCTGCCTCAGCCTGGCGGTCTGCACGCCCTTGTGGAATGGCTTCGCGTTGCAAGGTTTGTAATTCCTTAGCAACGGTACTTCTGGACCTTCATGATCAGCTCTACGTTGCAAGGTCTGTACCCTTTTAGCAACGATGCTTCGAAACCTTCGAGTGACAGCTCCGCGTTGCAAGGTTTGTACCCCTTTAGCAATGGTTCTTCCTTCCTTCCCGGGATGAGTGTTGCCGGAGGGCCTCCTTCCTGGTTGCCGCTGCGTTGCAAGGTCTGTACCACTTTAGCAACGATGCTTCCAGGACTTCGAGTGACAGCTCCGCGTTGCAAGGTTTGTTCCCCTTTATCAACGGTGCTTCCAGGACTTTGAGTGACAACTTCACGTTGCAAGGTCTGTACCCCTTTAACAACGATGCTTCCTTCCTTCTCGGGACGAGTGTTGCCCGGAGGACCTCCTTCTTGGTTGCCGCTGCGTTGCAAGGTCTGTACCCCTTTAGCAACATTGCTTCATCATGGTACCAGTGGATGGTTCTGGGACGTGGAGGTCAGTCACGTATGGCTCTCCCCCAACGACCCTTCCCCTCAACTCGTGCAGCCTAAGCCTCAGATGCTTCCACCGCATCAGGGGCAGGTTTTGCTCATGCGCGCCCAGCGCGGAGCTGAACTTGCGCAGAAGACTCTGCAACCCTCTCGCGTACGTGAGCTAGAGATTTAGCATGGCATCCATCCGGGAAGGATGTCCGTCTGCCTGGTCGATGGGAGTGATAAGACGAGTCGCCCTTCTTGGCTACCATGGCTACCCAACTTGTCAAGACACATGCTCCCTTCGAGATCCATCTGTGCTGGTACATCTTTGCTGATACGTCTCTCGGGGAGCTAGCCGACTACCCGGTCGACGGGAGTGATGAGACGATTCATTCCCTCCTTCCCGGAACGAGTATTGCCGGGAGGGCCTCCTTCTTGGCTGCTCAACTTGCCGGGACATGTACTCCCTTCGAGGCCCGTCTGTGCTGGTATGTTTATGTTGGTACGTCTCTCGTCGAGCCAGCCCGCCTACCCGATTGACGGGAGTGATGAGACGAATCGTCCCCTCCTTCCCGGGATGAGTGCTGCCGGGAGGGCCTTCTTCCTGGCTGCCGTGGCTGCTCAACTTTCTGGGAGACATACTCCCTTCGAGATCCGTCTGTGCTGCTTCGTCTCCCTCTTCAATCCATCATGCTTCGAGTGTACGAGCATGGTTTATGGTCATCGAGTATACAGACGTCTGAGGTGATAGCTCCGAGCGTGCACGACCTCGTGATGGTGCTCCGCAACAACGACCAGGTTGCACGGATAATCAACCTACAATTTCAAAAAAAATAATAGAAATTTCAAATTTACATTTTTATTGTTTGATGTGTTCTCCAATGGTTTCCCTTTGCTCGGTGGGCTAGGTCAAAATTAGAGTATTGCTTTGATAAAAGAAATTGTGGCCACTGGTGCGATTTTGACCAGGTTAAAATTAAGGTCTGCAGAATTTGCAGCGGCGGGCCCTCATCCTCGCCGCCTGTTATATCATCCTATGGACAAAACAGAGATATTTTAGGTACAACTACTTTTGTGTTTTGTGTTCACCTTATTTGAGCATATAAAGCACAGTTTTTGTACAATGAGCAAGTTATTATTAATCTGCTTCATAATAGGTTAGCTCACTCCATTAATCTGCAAATTTTTTCGTATACCTGGTTAATCTAGGAATAAACAGTATTCCTATTTAAAATATTCAATTTTAATTTTAAATATTATTTCTGAATATTTAAAATTCAAAACCACGCCAAATATTATTTTGAATGAATTTAGTTCGAATGGGTGTTTTCCTATTTGTACAATGTATGTACATTAGTGGTCATTTTACATGATAAAATATTATATTTTTTATCGTAACTTTATAATTTTTAATCGTAATGTGATCATTACAGAATATAGATATCACGTATGAAGCTTCTTATTACAAACATGTTTCTATAGAGTCCAAAAGAGAACAATATATTTATGAAATTCATCCAGTGCAACGTACGCGTGGAGAATTTTATGTATGTGCTTTATTCCCGTGCAACACACGGGTGGAGTAACTAGTATATGTATATACGACGTATATAATACTAGTATTTATATTTATATATATGAAATTGATGTCATAAGCACACCCAGAAGGCTAAATTGGTAGAGTGATAAGTTTATCTTTAAAAAGGTAGGTTGGAACTTGGAATCGTACTTGGGGTTTAAATTCAAACAGAAAGAAGGGCATTAACCTCCCTTTCCGGCTAAGAAGAACACATATGCTACTACTTGTTATTAACTTGCAGACTTATTGCTATTTACTTGTTATTAACTTGCAGACTTATTGCTATTTACTTGTTATTAACTTGCAGACTTATTCTAAAAAGCATCACATGTCTAATATGCAGACTTATTGCTTATATGAAATGAGGTCCTTTATAACAACCTATTAAAGATGAAATAGGTAGATATGGATGTATAGAATGATGATATGGTCAAGGTAATTAGCTTACTGGAGTGTGGGGTCTTCCCAAATCCTATGATTCCTACAGGAGGCTTGTGAATTGCTATCCATCGGCAGTTCCACAAATCTGTTTGGGAAAAAATTGCACTAAACAACAGAAAACGAGTGAAAAGCGGTCTGATACAATATAACTCATGCAAGTAGTAGAACTCAGGTACCAGAGGTTTTATCTGCTTTAATGATCTATAAAATAATCATGTCTTTGCACACAAATGGAATTTCAAAAAAAGAATTTAAAATATACAAGCAGCGGGCTTGTGGCTGACTCAGGAGATTCTCACAACCATCTTGTTCTTCTTTCCAGCCGACAGCAGCATAAATTTTCCGTCTATAATATCCTCCTCCTCAATCTTCTTAGCCTCGCTATCAACTCGGACATTGTTCAAGTAAAGCCCTCCTTGTTTAAGCATCCTCCGTGCGGCAGACTTACTCTCCAGCAACCCACTGGAAACCAAAAGATCCAAAAGCAGAACATTCAAAACCTGATCAAAAGGCAATGAACAAGATGGAACATCTCCAGAAATGGTCTTCCACTCCAACCTAGGATCTGCATTGCCTGGCCTCAGTGCTTCTGTCGCCTTAAGAGCCTCCTCCAGCCCCTCTTGCCCATGAACAAACCGTGTAACCTCCTCAGCCAACCTGCGCTGTGCCATATTAGGAAGCTTCCCCATTTGGAGCCTGACCTCTTCAATCTCTTGAATGCTCAGAAAGGTAAGGATCTTGAGAAACCTCACCACATCAGAATCAGGAACAGAGAAGAAATACTGATAAAACTTGTATGGCGACAAAAGTGAAGGGGACAGCCATATTGCTCCTTCCTCGGATTTTCCAAACTTGGTCCCATCACTCTTGAGGAGAAGTGGGAATGTCAAGCCATAAGCCACGGGAGATGCAGAAGATTTTCCTATTACCCTGCGGATAAGGTCCGTTCCTGAGGTGATATTTCCCCATTGATCACTGCCGCCGATTTGAACAGTGACGCCTTCCTTTTTGAACAAATGCACAAAATCATAACCCTGCAGCAACTGGTAGGAGAACTCTGCGTAGCTCATTCCTTCCTCTGCATTTTCCAGTCTCTTCTTCACGCTCTCTTTGGACATCATAGTACCAACCCTTGCTAACCTTCCTACATCACCCAAGAAATCTAGAAATTTCACATCTTTCCACCAAGCATAGTTATCTAAAACCTCAAGGTTAGATGAATTTGGCGACGCTACTAGTATCTGACGAATGTTAGCTGAAATTCCGGCGATGTTCTGATTCAACTTAGCATAGTCGAGATCGGGGCGCTCTAAACTCTTGCCGGACGGGTCACCAATGCGGCCAGTGGCTCCACCAATAAGAGCGACAGCTTTATGGCCACAACGAAGGAACCACGAGAGAACAATAAGACCGAGAAGGTTCCCAAGGTGGAGACTTTCTGCAGTCGGGTCAAAACCGCAGTAGACTTTGAGAGGAGGGTGATTCGGGTCGGAGCAAATGGACCGGATGTTTTCACTAGTGACGGATTCTAGTAAACCCCTTTCCTCCAAAATCTCCACCACGTTGTCCCGTCTCCGTTTATCTGACTCATTTTCTGGCTGGGGCGTAAATTGCGAGGATTTGAAGCAAAATAGCCTGCGCCACCGGTGAGAGTGAAGAGTGAGTGTTGGGACTGTACACGTTCGGAGGAGCGCCGGAGAGAATTGCCATAGGGAGGCACCATTAAGAATGAAGGTTCTAAGGAATAGGTTAGCACAAGCCATACGAATGACTGTTATTTGTGCTATATTAAGTTTTGTGAAGGAAGACGATACAAAGAGAGGGCAGGGCCGGCCCTCTCAAATTAGAGCCCTGTACAGAATTAAACAAGAGGCCTTAACATAAGAGCTTGAATCCATGAATGTATATTCTTCGACCATATTTCTATTACAATTGAAAACCATTATAATTTTAATCAAGTTAAATTAATCTCTTTCCTTTATAGTTTAATTATTCCTCAATATGTCTATTAAAAAATGAGTTAGCTATATGATTAAAATAGAATAGATTAATCGATATCCGGATTGAAAAAAATAGAATACCGTATCGAAGAGATACAAATGCTCCATGTACTTTATTTAGTTTTATATTTTTCGTAAAAAATGAGAAATACTGAAAACTCAGTATTGAGTGTTCTTGGATACCATTCATATCCACGTATAAATTTCTCAAGTCCAATCCTTAAATATTGTAGTTGAAGGTGGAGGTTTTACTGACATGGGAGGGATACCCAAAAATTATTGGCCGGATTTATTAAAGAAACATGGAAGAGCAAAGAACGGAAACAAATTAAAGAACAAAAATAAAATACCTTACAACAGACTGCTCCGTTCAAGAAATCGTAGAGTCCTGGACATCAAAATTGCAAAAGTCTGACGCCATTTTCTTATGACACACTACATACTTATACCAATTTCTTAATTGTTAAATACAATTATCAATTGAATTACTTCATTTCCAATAAATAAACAAGTAACAACAACCTAATTTGGAATTAAAAAGAGAAAATTCAGAAACCATATATCCTTACAGGCTACCGAGGTCCGAGGCAGTAAGGGGCAGAGGTCCGTGAGTCCGTGACTGGTGGGCGGTGACTCAGTGAGGCACTGAGGCGGACAGGCGGTGATGCGGCGAGCAGCGTAACTGTGTAGTCTGCGTGAGGCACTTCAGTCGTGCTGTCGAGGAGACCTGGTCTTGGAGAGGCAGACAGGTGGGGCGCGGTGGCGGGCTGGCGGGCCAGGGGCGGATCTAGTTTTGGCATCCAGATGGGGCCAAAATTTAATTAAAATGAATATTCAAAAAATCATTTATTCTAGCAACAAAATCAAAGACAAAAATAAAGATTAGAGGAATAAGAGTTTTCATTAAAGTCAAATACAAAAACGCCATAATTTTATAACTGTTCTCTACGGGTTTTCATCGATTGATATCGTTTGATAATGACACCATTGTCAATTTTCAAGAAGATGTCTTTTTCTACATAAACAATAAGTCTATCATTGAGCCATTCATCACTCATTCACTCATCCGGTTGCTCAACCTATCTTTCACGATATTCATTGCTAAAAATACTCTTTCAACACTAGTGGTTGAAACAGGAAGAATCAATGCCAATGTCAACAAATTGTAAACTAATCCAGGGTCAGATGGAAGTTGGGAAGAAATGAAGAATAAAACTCATTAGCGGTGACTGATTGTAGGATATTTACGTTGTTTTGTTCGTCATTTGTTGTTAAGTTTTTTTGAATTGTAGTTGAGGGCACTACAATTTTGGATGAGCTACTTCCATTAGCTTTTTCTTCAGTAGGGTTATAGTATCTCTTCATTACCTTTATTGAAAATAATGGGATGACGAATTACTACACTAATATTAATTAACTTAATAATTAGATTAATAAGAACAAGTCACAAACAAATTCATACTATAAATGATGATTACAATTTACAAGTTTAAAAATAATAATCAAATTCATATCAAGCAAAGCTGTAATTTAATCTTTAACTTGAATTCAAAACAAAATAAAATTAAAAGATTAAAAAATACCTCTTAAGCTGGACTGAGCCCCTGGTGCACCGTCCTGGCCGAGTGGCTGACTGCCTGAGCCCTTGGTGCGCCTTCCTGGCCTAGTGGCCGCCCGGCAGGCGGCAGCGACTGAAGATGGCCGTTCAGAAAGGAAGAAGCGGACTATTACAGTGCTACTCTTCCCCTGCGCGTTTGGGGTTTTGCGGAAGTAGCCGAAGTCGCGCAGAAAGAAAGGAAGAAGCGGACGACTACTCTTCCCCTGCGCCTTGCGTTTTGGACTTCTAATTTGGACTGGGCCTCATCTTTTAAAAATTGAGACCGGGCCTAATTATTAAACCTATATACTAGTTTAAAAAATTAAAACATTAAGCATGGGCCTGGGCCCTCTGTGGCCGCAGTGGCGGCGAAAGAGGCGTCCTTCTTGGCGGTACTCTGTAACATGAATTTCTAATGTCCTATGCTACGGCACAGGTCTTTAACAGGGAAGGAGTTGTGCTAATAAAATTACTCTTGACCTTTAAAAGGCATCACATGTAAAATTTGACTAATACTCCCTTTGATAAGTCTGTTTTTCTGCTTACTAAATTTATAAGCTAATTTTTTTAACAAATATGTAAATTTTAATTTCACACGTTCAATTGTGTAATAAAAAAAAATATGATTGAAGTTACTCCCTCCGTCCCGTAAAGAAGTTCCTAGTTTGATCTACACACATATTTATGTAAGATAGAGTTTTGTTTTGAATTTCCAAGTATACCCTTACTTTATGTCAAATCAAACAAAAAGTGGGTAAACAGTAAGAGTAGTTGTAACTTTTTTGTTAAAAGTGGTTTCCTTTTATAGAAATGAGAAATTCTTTTTGGGACATCCATAAAAGGAAAGTGGGAACTTCTTCGCGGGATGAAGGTAGTACTTTTTTTAATATATTGATTAAAATTAGAGATATTACCCGAAATAGGACTAAAACAGATTGAAAATTCCAAAATAGTACTGTCATGTTTTTATTCCCAAAATAGAACTAATTATTGCCATGTTTTGGCAGTACCAGACTTCAAACGTGTTAGTATTTTCTAAACATGGCAGTAATTAGTCCTATTTGGGAAATAAAAAACATGACAGTCCTATTTTGGAATTTTGAAACTGTTTTAGTCCTATTTCGGGGACTTTCCTTTAAAATTATTGTAGAGAATCTTTTTAACTATTTTTTCACATAACTTTTTCTTTATTTAGTTAATAAAATGTATTTGAAATATAATATTTTTCATAAATAAGCAAAATTAGTCAATCCAGTCATTTTTATCGAAATTTCATTAATTTCAGCATAATAAATGAATGTAGTCGATATGGGTATTATCAAACAGACTCTCTCCTACTAACGCTGGAGGATAAAAAATGGAAAAAGCTCCATTACTGGTTAGATTTATGTCTATGATTTTGTGTAGTTTTAGAGTCCGTTTGATAACTCTATTTCTCAGCTTATCAGTTCTATCAGTCAATTTTTCACCATGTAATTTTTGATTTTGCATACCGAATAACTTAATAATTAATTAAAATAAGTGAGTTGGAGTTATTTTTTGACTATCGTTTCTTGTTCACGTGTGGTTATTATTTAGATTAACTTTTTGGTGTTTAAAATGTCAGAGTTGCCATAAATTTGGCCGGAAGTCCAAAAAGTTTGATATAAGTTCGTATACCGTCGGAACAGTCCGCCGTGAGCATGTTGTTCTCACAAAAAAGGTGTGTTACTGTTCACGCGGGTGAACAATAACTTCCTTTTTTATTTTTTTTATTGTCCAGTAGCAGACTGATCTAACTCATGTGTAAAAAAATGTAACTCACGCTGATAAGAAATGTAACTGCAAGCAAGTCAATATGTAACTTCTCTAATATGAATGATAAGAAATAAAATATTTATCTCAATGAAAACAATGAGTCTCATTACTCAATTGCTTTACGTAAACGGTGGATATGTTGTGTTTTTATTTCATAAACATTTTTTTTCTTTAATTTTTTTTTCAAAAAAAAAACATTTTATTTTAAAAAAATGATTTTTTTTAATTTCAATAGCAGGAGTTTTACTTAAACAATGAATATGTTCTGTTTTCACTATTAAGGCCATAAAAATATTTTTTCCCAAATTATTTTTTGTCAAAGAAATCATTTTTTTGACAAAAAAAATGATTGTTTTGTTTCAATAGCAGGACTTTATGTTGTGATGTTACTCGTGTAGTCGTGTTATAGAAAAGGTAACCCGTGATGATAAAAAATATAGCTTAGGTGTATGCAAAATGTAATTTGTTCAGGCAAGTCCAAATGTAACTCTCGCATAGGAAGATGCAACTCACACATAATAAGACCTAACTCGCGAATAAGAAGATGTAACTCGTGCATAAGGAGATGTAACTCGTGTATAAAAAGATGTAACTCTATATAATTTCAAATGTAACTTTAAGAATCATTTATACATGTAATATCATAATGTATCAAATGTTAATCGGAAAATATTGTATGAATACAAAATGTATATTTTAGGAGAAAAGTTTATGAATATGAAAAGATATATTAAAAAGTGTATGAATATAAAAAATATTATAGAAAATAAATAGTACGGAGTATATGATTACAAAATGCAATATACTTATTTTACGTAGATTAATATTTTTTTAATATACTTTTTTTTGTTATGAATTGGTAAAGAATAAAAAACATATTGAATTGTTATTTAAGGTGAAGATAAAGAAAAATAAAATTAAAATTTTAAAATTTTGGTAGAGAAAGAGAGAGAAAACGGAGATAAGAAAAATAAAGCAAAAGTCTTTTTTAAAAATTAAACACGATTAGTGGGAATTGGGAAGGGTAACAATTCATTTGGACCGAGAATGATAAAAGAGTCTATATACGTTTTTTACCTCTCTTGATACTAAAAAAATTCTTGTGCATATATATTTGTTGAACTAACCAAGGCATCAAAAGGTGACAACATTGCTCGAGGACTAGCAAGGCTCGAGTGTGAGGGAATTTGACAATCACGATAATTGCCTATATTTTATACATGTAATTAGGATTATCTGTACAATTATTAAAAGATAAAACACGTAAAAATCCCAATTTGAGCAAAACCGCACAAAGGCGTCAAAGATAAACAAATGAGAGTCAACCGGTTATGTGTTTTCGCAGCAAGAGTGGGGCTTACCAGTAGCTTAACCGGCGTCGGGTTACCCCTATAATCGGCGTCAGTTAAGCTTGATTTTGCTAAAACACAGTGACATGCAAGATGATTTTTTATGGGAAAACTCCATTTTCCTCATTTCTTGATCAAATATTGCTCCATACTTGATTGTTGGGTTCGAATAGACTAAAAGATGTCATTCTTTAGCCTATATAAAGCCTTCAATTCATCACACAAATACATTCCATTCCATAGATTAATTCTTAGCTTTTATATTTTTGTTCTTGGTATTTTCTTCAAGTTCTTGAGGAGGGAAGTTCTTCCTCCGAAATCATTGGTGTTTAGGTATTATTTTCTTTGTAATTTCATGTTCCACTACATTTATTACTTTATTGTGATTAATAAGAGCATTAGATGCTAAATTCTTAGCTAATGCTAGGGATGAACTTCTATGCCCACTAGGTGTTTGATAAAAGTTCTAAACCAATAAATTGTGATTTATCCTTTATATATTGATTCTTTATGACTATGGTGTACAACATAGAAGTATTTTAAATTTAGTTTATACTTGCAATTAACGTTGAAGTCTAAACTATGAACATTAAAGGATAAACATATATAGTACCGAGAATAGAAATATATCCGGTCTTATATGATACGGGTGTGATGTCTTGATATTCAATGGGGTTTTCGGTAGATGAATGTAAGCCGTAACGGGACTTGCACGTAACGAAAACCACGCTCTCGCTGCCTTAACCGGAATTGAGAATATATTAGCGACATCGTATTCATAATTATTGGCAAAAAACTAATATTCAACCCTATTAAATCATTTAAGTGATTCCCGAAGCCTTAGTTGTTGTTATTATTCATCTTAAACTAAAAAATCAGTTAACAATTACCAAAATCTCTGCACTTTACTCATTTCTTCATTTAAAGTTATCTACTCTCGGACTTGAATTAAACAACGTTTCTGATGGATAGTCTACCCGGGGGTATGTATCCGAAGGGTTATTGCGGGGAATAACTAGAGAGAAGTCAGAGCATAAGTAAGAGAGAGAGAGTATATTGTTGAGAAAGTAGTGAGCGTATTTCGCATGGGTTACAAATGGGGAAATGGGTGCTATTTATAGCAGTAATAAATGCCAGATAGGGACACGTGTCATCATTCTGGTGGTCGAGGGGTCACCTCAACGAGGTGGCGCTGGCATTCGCATGTGGCCGCATTAAATGCGGCTGTTGGATGTGACGTCGTACTTGGTACGGTGATTCAGGCGCATGTGGAGAGGATATTATGTCGAGGAAGGTGCCCTCGGTTGCAGATGATTAGCCGAGGGCTCTGAGTACCGGGAACCCCCTCAGTGCCGGGGGCTCTGGGTGCTGAGGGCTACTGATTTTCGCCGTTTTCTCATAGTAACTTTGTTTGCTTGAGTTGGCCGTCCTGTGAGGATTTGGAGCCTTCGGCCAGGGGGCCGAAGGCACCCCCAGTGTGCCACGTGGGTTTCTCAGTACTTGGGGCGCTGTGATTCGGGTCTGTTGTGCTTCCTGGGCCTATTGGGCCTCCATTAGAATAGTAGGAGTCTATGGGTCGGGGGTTCCTGGGCCATATACTCCATCAGGAGTCCCTCACTCCTTTTGCCGAAAGGTACTTGAGGGAAAAGGAGTAGTTTGTGTTTGTCCTTTGGTGTTGTTCCGTTGTAGTTTGTGAGTTGTTTGTTGTGTGCATGTTTCAGCCGAGGGCAGTCCCTCAGTTACCCACATTCCGGGACTTGAGGGATCATGTTTGTTGTTGTGGGAGTTTTTGACATTTTTTGTTTTTTGAGGTTTTTCCCGAAGGGGTTCTCTAGACCTCCACTCCTTGAGGCACTTGCAAAGTGGTGAAAAGGAGTAGAGTAGTGCCTGCTGCAATATGAAGCCGAGGGGTGACGCTTTTCGTTTCATTTTGGGGGGATGCCTCGTTAAAAACCTCATTGGAAAAAACCCTGTGGGAAAAAATTCCAATGAGGGAAAAAGAGTGCACTGAATTCCCCCAATGATGAGTCGAAAAGGTGAAATCCCGGTTTGAAATGAGTGGCAATATTTTTGCCGAAGTCCACTCAAA